GCGGGTTCATCCTTTCTGCCCAGGCACAGAGGCGGGCAGCTCCTTCCTCCAGAGCCCATCACAGGTTGCCCAGCCCACAGGCACCTCCAGGAGCACCTCCAGGAGCATCTCCAGGAACAGCTCCAGGAGCACCTCCAGGAGCACCTCCCAAACACCTCCAGGAACACCTCCAGGAGCATCTCCAGGAACACCTCCAGGAGGTCCTCCAGGAACACCTCCAGGAACAGCTCCAGGAGCACCTCCAGGAGCACCTCCAGGAACACCTCTAGGAGCACCTCCAGGAACACCTCCAGGCACACCTCCAGGAACACCTCCAGGCACACCTCCAGGAGCACCTCCAGGAGCACCTCCAGGAACACCTCCAGGAGCACCTCCAGGAGCACCTCCAGGAGCACCTCCAGGAACACCTCCAGGAACACCTCCAGGAACAGCTCCAGGAACAGCTCCAGGAACACCTCCAGGAACACCTCCAGGCACACCTCCCCAGCGCCACCCGCACAGCAGCACCCAGGGAAGCGCTCACTGCCTCTCTCAGCCCTGCTGCCATTGCTCTGCCAGTCCTTCTCTCTCCTGCTCTGGCTCAGCCCTGCTATCCCTGGCAGGATAAGCTCAGCTGTTATGATGATGTGATGTGAAACACAGAGGAGGAGGAGGAAGAGGAGGCCCCGTGCGCCTGGCTGGGCTCACTCATGCTCTTCCACTTGCCTTTGACACTTGGCACGCGTGGAAGTGTTCATTACAGCAAGTCCCTAATGTTCCCTCTTGTAAAATAACCACGTGGGAGATGGCTTGCTTAAAGATAAGCAAACACACTGGGTTGATAAATGCCTCTGAGCTCTAACTTCTGAACTGGGCCCTTCATATTCAGAAAGTGGAACAAGGAACCAAAGCAGAGCAATCAATCCAATTCCATAACCAAATGGAAAGCAAAACCCAGAGCTACAATGAAATGTCACTCTATTCAGTGATTTATATTATGCAATCTAAATATTCTAAGTAATTTAAATTTAATAATTGAAATAACTCTAAAAAAATAAGAAATTTTCATGTGAAGCCACCAGTGAAAAGCCATAAGACTTGATTTTGGAAAAAGACAAAGATTTTTTGCCTGCATTTTCTCCTGTCTTTGCAGATGAAGCCCATCTGAAAACTGAATTCAACCATGTTTTTTCTTTCCTTTTTTAATTTTTTTGCCAAAATAAACCTATCTTGCTCCGGCTGACATCCAAAGGTATTTAAATAGAACATCCAAAAAAACCCAACTTAGTGAGAAGCAGACAGGCCTTCCCATGGTAGCAAACCTCATTTTTTTGGTATCATCTTGCCATCAGCATCCATTACCACCAAGGATGCAGCTTTTACTGGCAGCTCCTCTATATTAGGGGCTCTTGAAACTATTCTGTCACCAGTTACTTTCTAAACAGGCTTATAAGATAATTCAGGTTGGAAGAGTCCTCAGGACTCTTCAGTCCAGCCTCAAACTGTAATGAGAATCTCTAAGGTATTGCCCAGCCAGTTAATTAACCCTCCATCTACCTTGCATATATTTAACTTTTCATAAGCAGTGCTGAAGTTACATTCAGAAATAGCTGTGATCACCATGTGTTATTTATTGGCAAGAATTATTTTTGAGAGACAATTACAATGTATGGGGGCAGGGAGTGTTGCATAATGAAGGTTTTCAGCAAAAAATTAGGAACTTGTTTGTCTTTACAGGATTCAAGGTGTCCTGTGGCACTTCTTTTGTGCCAAGACAAAATGAAGTTTTTCTTGCTCTGTCCATTCCTTTCCAGAGCTTTCCTCTTCTGCTTTTGAAGCTCTAGGCCAAACAGCATCTCTTGCTTGGCATTCTGCAACAACCTTGTGACAAACACACCAAAAAACAGTGTATTGCCATCTCCCAAGCACTCAGCTCAGCGGCCAGGTGTTAACCAGTTAACGTGGGGAAGGGAAGTGTGGTATGAAGCTGACAAGTGATATTAGAGTGTGGTGGTCTAGTCCCTCAGGATGCCCCAGACCCACAGCCAGGGCATCTGAGACACAGATGGAGCACTGAGATGAGCAGCTACACACATGAGCAGCCCCAGGACACTTTGAAATGTCCCAGAAGTTCACAGACAGACCCATCTATGGTGAAAGCACCAGCAAGGACTTGCCAGAAAAGCCTGAAGCACTGATATGGGACTTTTAATTTCAAACTGCATTTTCAGTGACCACTCCCTTACATTATGCAAAGTACACAGTATGGTCAGTGACAGAAAGCCACTTTTCCACTGTTTCCGCAGCAGTGATGTTACTAAAAATGCTACTCAATCCTTTTATTTTTGGAATCACTAGCTACAATTATTTCAGTCTATCATCATCACCAGACATGTACTGAACAGACTCTGAGATGACAGGGGACAGAGCTTTTCAGATACTTTTTCCCAGATCAGCCAGATGATTTTCCAAATTAATTTAACTATTCAGCCATTAATTACTAAATAAGCACTTGATTTTGATGGGACCAGACTGTAGAGCCTTCTGGCAACTCTTGTTACCAGTTCAGTGCAACTGCTAAAGGGCTACCTTATACTGGAAACTTTGGCAGGAGTTGTGGGCTGATAAACCAGGGGACACCACTGGAACATCAGGGGGTTTTGATTAATAGAATCCACCTAAACAGATGAAGTTAAGGCCTTATTTCATATTTAGAAATTAAAAGCAATATAGACATAGAAATAAAGTTAGCTAATGTATCTGATCATGGTAAACCCCCAGCTCTGCAGGTATTAAGCAGTGGGGTAACTTCTTTTACATACTGGCTCAGAATGGGTAAGGTTTCTCTAATAAGTAACTATAGCAAAAAAAAAAAATCAAAAAAAAAAAAATCCCTGTTATGATTATTTTAATTTGAAAATGACATTTAGATGTGTGACTCCATTTTAGCGAGTTACAAGGTTTTTCTTCACCCCAATTTTTTGCAAAAAGTTCTTCTTTAAGGTATCAAATTAATTTGAAGGTTTATCATGAATGGAACTGTACAGAGAGAGATGCTTGGAACAGGAACGGAAAGAGTATGGACTGGAAAACTGGAGACTGAATTCAGAAATTTCACACACCAGAGGAGAGGCCATGCCATCCATTTGTCTGTGGTAGTGAATTTCTCTTGCAAATGGCTTGTTCAACCCTAGGATCAGAGTTAACCTGGACTATCTTAGTCCTTATTTTCCCAGAGCAGGCAATGAAAACAAAAGAGAGCTTCTGAGAACAAAAATTCCATTAAAAATTTGCTGCCTCTCTGAGACAAGAGGAACAAGGGTCATATAGTCCAACAGAGTACAGAGCAAAACTAGGATCTCAAACATGTCTGTAATACTATCCAAAGATGAAATAACCTTTCCAATCCAATACAATTTAATAGACCAACATGCTTCATGCCACCTTGTTTTAGAGTGGTAGTCATTTGGTCTGACACCTGCATTATATTATTTCTACTGGGAAAAATGTATTTAAAATCACAGGGACCATATATTTAGCCATCAAGGACAGAGGAAAATATCCTAGTCAATCATTTATCCCCTGGAGAAAACCCCTGAGCCAAAATTGCTTTTACTATTATAGCAGGACCTTTTACATCAGTGTGGAATTGGAGAGAGGAAAAAAGAGAGACAGGATTGTTTTAACGTTTTCCCTCTGGCATTGTTGCTCTCCAGCAAAGGCGCGAGTCCAGGGGATGCACACACAGAGCATCCACTTCCAGTGCATCCATCACTGAGTGCAAAATCATCCTCATGCTCTGGACTGTGACTGCCCTTCCTTAGACATCACGAGTAAGCAGGTCACTAAAATATCCTGCAACATGGAGCATCTAACTGGGAAACAAGCTCTGACCTACTGTTTTCTGTTTCTAAATATTTGGGGATTTGAAAGTTCAGCCTCAAGCACGCATTCATCTCAGGCAGTTCAGCTGTCACTTGTAATACAAATCAAAAGATGATGGATGGCAGAATCTGCCCAGAAGTTCAATTCCTGCTAGGGTCATTCTGTCCATAGTGACCACTTTTCCACACTAACCACATCACTTCATTGCTCTCCTCACCATAAGCATTTTTACACATGAAAGTGCATACATAGATGTGTACAAAACATTCATCTACCATCTATAAAATTTCTCTGGTCTGAAGTTTTTCCAGCTGACAGATTGGTTTATGTGCACACTGCCTTCTGACATTATTACATTTCCCACTGCCACATGAAAACTGAAAAAAACCCAAAAAATCAGAGCATCTTTACATTCATCCTGTACTGTACTGCTTATGTTTCTGTAGATGAACCTATGAAGTCTATATATGGAAGATCTGCATTAATATTTTAAAATTTACCTGTGAAAATATACCGATTATGCATTCTTGTGCAGCCTCTATACGTTTATTTCATGCAAACATACTGGTAGAAAAGTTTACTGGTAGGAATGTCTGTAGAAACACTACATTTTACAATATTTATTGTAAGCAATATTTCTATATATGTGTGTATATATATAAATATTCATATAAATTTCACTCCTCCAGCAAGATAAACAGAAATATAGCTCAATATATGTTCAAACTAGCTCATGTTTAACTTGCAGTACCAAAGACCAGCAATAATGTGCTCACAAGCAAACTAGGAATAATGAATTTTTATTGAAGGATTAAATAACTGCTGAATTACTACCGCAGTCCACAGACATATTAACTTGCAGGTTATTTTCAAGGTAAGGAAGCTGTCAAAAGAAATGTGTCCTTACAAGAAATTCATCTGCCTTGAACACTAACCATCCAGTCATATTCTGAAGAGTCCAAAGATCAAAATGGAGGGGTTAATGTAGTTCCCTACAATAAATGGTGCTTCAGCAGTAACTCACCTTTGTAAAGCCTGATTCATAGAATGCTTTCTGTTTTCCCTCCGGGGTAGCCCAGGTGTGTCTCAGTCTTCTCTTGGTGGCAATGACACTGCAATTATTTGCATCCTTGCAGCTGGCAGCTGACTTGATCTCGAGCATATTCACAGCCATTGGCTTGGTGACGCTGGCCCTGCTGGTGGTGCTGTCCTTGGCCATGGTGGTCTCCGCTGTCACTGCCAGCAAACGGGCGACACAGGGCACCTACAGCCCCAGCCGCCAGGAGAAGGAAGGGTCCCGGGTAGAGATGTGGAACATGGTGCAGCCACCACCTGTGGAAAGACTGATCTAGAAGAAAGCAAAGCCACTCCTCCATCCTCAAACCTGGCTGAAAGGGGACACTGAACATATGTAAGATATATTCATTTTCCTTCTGATAAATATTACAACAATTTTTTCATTGTTTCCTTTTAAGTTCAGTAGTGAACAAATGACATTTATCATTGCTGATGACCAGCCCATCCAAGGACAATTTTTATTTGCACTGGAAACTCCAGCCTTGATAATCAGCAGTAGGCATTGTGAACAGTAATGGCTCCTGGAATAAATGTAACTGCCTGTCCTGGACACCACATGGATAACAGCTTCTCCTTTTGCACTCTCCTTTGGCTGCCTAGCAATCACTGCTGCAGACGATGATGCAGACAAATCAGCTAAGTCTGTACAATAAAGACATTGTAATTCTTTTATCAAAGGGTTTAGTACTAGAACTAGATGCTTCAAATTTGTTTTTCTTCCTTCTAGTTCTTTTGTTTCACTTGCTGTTCCTCCACCTTCTACTAAAATGAAGGTGAAATGAGTTTCAGTTTCCACAAGAACATATTTCTCTTAGGATAAAAGACTGTGGCATAAAATACCCAGTGGGCACAACCTGACCTGTTAGGAGATATGAAATCTAAATATCCTAAACAAGTTGTGTGCATCCACACTACTGCCTTTTTCCTATTACAATATTACCCAATCATCCCTTTTAGAAAATTATTGCTTCTCACATTGCAAACGTACATTGGCTGCCAAAATGAAAGACGCCAAAATAAATGTTTCCTAAAGCTCATGGAAAATACCAGGAAAAAGGCAGAAGTGGCCTACAGGTAGAACATTGGCTTGAAAATAATTAGGCCAAACTTGGTGCTTCTCCTGGAACTCAGACTTCTCATAAGATCATGGGCAAATAAATTGTTATGCCTCAAGTTTCCTCTTTTAAAACAGGGATAATCCTATTTAACTACCTCATAAACCTCAGCAGCAAAAGGGTTGCTGTGTCAAAAAAGAAACAAATGCATGAAATGTAATGGAGAAGCTTGGAAGAAATCTTGTAATGAAACAGACAATTACATAGATGTAATAAAAATCACATTGACAAGTAATGCAATGACACAAATATTTGATACAAAGAAATGTTGTAATGAAATAGACATTTGAAAATGTAAGTTAACAGTTGGACTCAATGATCTTAAAGGTATTTTCCAGCCTTAATGATTGTATGATTCTTTGTGCCAAAAATGCTCCCATGTCAAAGGGGTTTTTGGAATGTAAAGGCAAAATTTAACTGTAACTCATGCAGTCAATTTTCAGATGTAGTCAAGTAATTAAATCACAAACATTGCTCCCACACAAACTAAATCCACAATAAGAAGGCAACAGAGTGGAAAGGCCATGAAGGCATTTCTTTCTGCACTTCAGCTTGCATGTGCCCACAGCAGTGAAACATCCCAACATCAACCCCCAGATTATTCCAGGAGTTGTATAACAGGGTATGCACACTCAGTATCCAAGAGTTTAACTCATCTTTTCAATTTATGATCATTAATTGAATAAATAATAATTAATTGTGGATGACCCCTTAAGGGATTACTGAAGATCAATGCCACTCACATTTATTTTTATATTAGATGATTAGCAGTAACTATGATAGTAAGCACATTCAGGACTTTTTGCAGTCCTCACCAATATCTTTCAAAACAAGGCACTACAGAAAATGTGAGTGGATGGTTGGATTCAAGCTGAGTTAAAAGAATGTAGTCACAGCAAAAATGCATGGCAGATTTTATTCTGGCCAAATTTACAGCTTTACTACTGAAGCTTATTATTTTGAATGCAACTGCTGTTGTACAGCTGCAGTCTAAATTCAGAGAGTTCAAAAGAAAACTGAGGAAATAGTGGAAAAATAAGTTACTAAAATTATGATGAGAGAGAGCAGAAATTATTTTCTCCGGATCTTTTCAAATCATGGCTTTTTTTTTCCTTTTTGCCTCACTCACAAGTAAGACAAACCATGTCAAGAAAGTGGCCAAGTCTCCACATGGGAGACTGTGATAACAAGGGGACAAGCAGTAAGTGAGTGAGGAAGAGAAGGCTGGGAAAATCTTGGGGACAGCAAGCTCTGAACACCAGGACAAATCTGGAAGAATGAATTAGGCTCAAGCAGCAGAAGCAGCACTGGACTAACGAAGTGGATGCAAAGAATATGCTTCCACACACCTGCTTTATGCTCTTGATTTTGTGGTCAATGAGCTCAACTGAGAGAATTGATAGAGATCTCAGGGAATAGCAGAGATGGAGAAAGAAAAAGAGAAATTAGCTGATATCAGAAATAGCAGTAGAATGGTTATAATAAAGATCTAACTTTGAAGTCTGCCTTTATTTGAGCAGGAGGTTTAACTAGATGACATCAGCAGATCCCTTCCAGGCTTAATTATTACCTTATCCAAGGAAAAAGGACAAAAGGGAGAAAGCAGCTGAAGATGGAGTCAGTTTGCAAGGAGAACTAACTTGAAGGAAAGCACAAGGAAAGAATAAGGAAGTAGCTGAAAAGTAAATCTGCTCTTCTCTATGGTTTGACTTTCTGGATGAAATTTGGGAGACAGTTGAAAAACAATCTGTAGAGATGTAATAAAATATTCCAGAAAGTGTTGCCACAGAGAGAATCTTTAGGGCTGAGCAAGATACCCAGGAGCGTGTGCAGAGGAAAGAAGAGGCAGAGAAGATGAAAGCCTGAAGACTTTTCATACAGACCAAAGAGAGTTCAGGAGGAATATGCTCCTAGAGAATTAAAAAGACATCCATAAAAGCACAACAAAGAGAAAAATCTCACAGTGAAATACAAGTGTGGTTTGTAGAAAGTAAGTCAAGGAGACAGAAGGCAGGGGAAAAAACCTTTAAACTAAGATTAGAGTAAGTTGAGATTGCTGTCAGCCTTGGTGGAGAGGAAGTGATAAAAGTAAGAGTGGTGGAAATTCACAGAGAAATGAGAGAAGAAAAGGAAATGAAAGTAAATGGCACTTGAGGGAGGTGGAGGCAAAAGCTGGATCGCAGCAAGGTGGAAGCTGGACTTTCACAGCAGTGAGGCCAAAAGAAACAGTGGGAGGATGATGGTGAGTCAGGAATTAGAATTACCTATTGAAGCAGATCTTTGTAGGGTAACTCGCAGGGAGCATGTTTTACTTCAAATAGGGATTAAAATGTGAAATATTCAAAACTCTATGATCTTATAAGCAACAACAAAAAAAAAAAAAAAAGAAAAAAAAAAGGCGGCCTAGAAGGCAACAAGTGTCATTTCCAAACACACTTCCTGAAAATCTGCATTAACGAAGCAACATCCAAAAGCAGCAGGGAGGTAGATGTTGCATCTGGAAATGCTCAATTGGCAGCCTGGAGAGGCACAAAAAGTCCCAAAGCTTTCACTTCATGATCATGCTATAGCCACCATAATATGCATGGTTAGGAAGACTGACCCTTCTGGCCCATGTCTCAGCCAAGGAACAACAGCTAAAACAAAAGAGAATACATTTTAAAGAGTCTTTAATAACATCCCTGATGAAATTTAACCCACAGATTAAGACTGATATAGAAGATGCCAAGGTATTTTCTGCCTCTCAGCCCAGGGGTTTAATAGAATGTATAGAAGCACAGACATTCAGGGAGGAGCAATAACATCTAGGATTTGTGGAGAGCAGGTGTGCTGCTATAAGAAAAAATATTGAACTTGGCTTCTGGTTCCCAAAAAAGCACTGGCAACCTCTACTACTCTGGCAGGATCTCCACATGGAAGTCTTAAAATATTTCAGAATTCCATTTGTTTAATCTGTCTCATTATTTGACTAAAAAGCTTGAAGTATAATATATTATTCATGATCACTTGCAACCTATCCATTAAAGGAAAAAAAAAAGCTCCATATACTCCCAAGCCTTACATATTTAACCTTCTCTTCATGTTGAATAGCCTTCTACAAACAAAGAGAGGGAGCTGAGTTAGAGCATACAGTCTGCTCTGCACCAAATCTCTCCAAAGGTACTCAGAGGCAGGGGAAGGATGAAGCAACTTACCCCCTTTCATGGTCCATTCCTTTTTACTTGGAAAAGGTGGCATCCAACCTGTGAAACAGTGAGCATTACCTTGCATTATGTGCCTTCTCTGTTTTATGTAACATTAACTGTTCCTTCTCTATATGTACATAATATGTTCATAGTTTAGATGCTGTATTCATATTACTGTTTTGCTCTGTACAGGATCAAAATGACCAATAAATAAGGATTATATCGAATCCTATATTGTTTTTACTTTATGGGATTCTTTCATCATGCAATTACAAAGGAAATTATCCCTAGATCAGAACTATATTTACAGTTTAAGAAGTCAAGTTTGCAATTAGAAATCAAGTGATCAAGAAACATTTTCCATGCTTGGGAATGAGATGAACAGTGAGGGCTGCCAGCCTCAGCACTGCAATCTGCACCATCCTTTGCTGCCCATCCAGGTTTCTGGCCAGTGATTATTTCTGTCATTGTCTACATCTGGCTAGTGATTATTGTTCCCACAGATGCTAATTAATAATAAAATTAATCTTATTTACAGTATCAAATAAGTAGTTGACACACTTTTAAAACATCCATAATAAATAGAGTCCCACAGTAGAAATCTTGTCTCCAGATAAGAGACAGCAAAGTCTTTTTCCCAGCCCCAAATGTCTGTACTACGTTTTATTTAACATAAGCCCTAAGTCTCACTTCAGGACAAACCTTTACATGTGTAATGTCACATAACATTAGGAATCACAGATCAGAGAATTTTGGCCAAGTTCCTTTTTCCTGTGCTATTCAATCACCTCTCAGCTAAAGAAAACTGACACCTCTGAAAACAATTCAAAAAAAGAGCATCAGATTAGGCATTGTAACTCAATGAAGTTGAGCAGTGAATAGCTGACATCACTAGAATTTTGCCTATTGCAAGATGTCACAGTTGAATGAATGGATGGGGCTTTCATGCCCCACTGAAGCACGCACAGCCTTCAAACTACTGGCATGTGTCAAGATGCTGCAAAACCTAACATTTATAAAAGATACATCTGGTGTGCATTTATTGGGAGCAGAGTGAGGTCTTGTTTAAATTGCACACATGAATGTGATGTGGAGAGTGGGCAGTATCCCAATCCTCACAGTAAAAGCATGTTTTAACCTAAACTCCTCCATCTATAATGCATGCCATGAGGTGTGAAGACCTCTTGCACAGCAAAAAGCCAGAGCATAAATTATAAATTAAGGCATAGGTGAGGTACTGAAGGCCAGGCAGAGGTCTCAATTAGGTCATGCTTTTTCTGAGTTTACATTCTTTCAAATTATATTTATTGGGTAAAAATGTATTGGGAGATTTTATATTGCAACCAATTTGAGCAACTTTGCTATTTTTTGACTTGGTTTCACAAATGTTGCTTTTAATTTCTGATTTTATCAGGCCATGATTTTTCCTTCCCCAGAGACATTTCACAAAGCAATTCCTTCCCCAGCAATCCATCTAACATTGTCAAGCACCACAGAGGCGGGCATGTTCAAATCATGGCTTTAAATCATCTTTTCTGATCAGAGAAAAGCCACACAGGCCTTCATCTGGTTCCATGCTCCTCATGGCACCATTTGAAGTATGCCATTCTCCCCAGCTCAATATTGTGTGTGACCTTTCACGTTCCACCTGTAGTTCCAGCAAAAGTGCAATTTCCACTGGCATGTACTGTAATAACCAGTGCTGACAAAAATGTGTGTTTCCAATTTAAACCCACTCAGTTTCACTTGGCACCTGTGCTAACCCTTCTTGGCAGCAGAGATTCAGCAGGAGCAGCAGCAGGGGGGAATGGGAGGGAAGGGTTGTGCAGGGCCATCCTAAGGCAATGTGACCATGCTGGCTGTGACCATTGTCACCTGTGCCAGCAGCCCCTGCACTGCTGCACGTTTGCAGTGCCCAGGCAGCCAGGCCATAGGGCAGCCTCAGGCTACAGAACTTTCTGCCCCACAAATAAACAACTGAGTGTCTCCCACACAGCTGGCACACAGGAGTTGCAGTGTCATCCCTAGGTAAGTGCACAGTTGTTAAGCAACTTAGAGAAGTGTAAATCTTCAGGGAAGATGTGAGGAGTGTTTCCAAGTATTTTTGCTCCAAGGACAGAACACTTTAAACAAATAAATGCAGCCTTAACTGCTTCTGATCCCTCCTCAGAAAGCAGGGAGAGGATGCCCATATAACAAGCTGTGGGCATCCAGTGAGACAGGGCACCCTGCCTGTACCACAGCCACTTTAGGACCAGCCAGGAGTGCAGGCTTATTTTGGAGGAGAAAGCATCAGGCTCTCCTTCCTGGCTGCCTGCAGCACCACTGTGGGAACAGTTCTTCACACCTTGGCTAGAACAACCTAGAAACACCCACAAACGGAGCAACCTTGACCTAGATCCCAGTGACAAAGTAGGAAAAAAGCAAACCAGAAAAGCAACAGTTGCACTGCTCCTGTCCCTCAGGTTCTGGCAGCGCATACTCCTGCGTCAGTGACTGCAGCTCTTCCACACATTTAAACAGTCCCGTGGACACAAGTGACGGTCATTTAAAGCAAACCAACAGTTTGAGACTTTCCATCTGGAATGTATAAAACCTCAATGCCCAGTTGAACATGCCTAGTGCCAAGCATTTTCTTCCAGTGGGATCCATGGCAGGATCACAGACAACTGTGATAAACCTGACCCCAGGGAGAAGGAAGCTCCAGCAGGTTTTTGCTTGAGAAATGAGCCAAACAGAGAAGATGCAAATCTGCCTTTTGTGGTGGCCCAGTGCTGGCACAAATGATTAGACCAGACCCAGAGAAAATCATTCTGGTTCACAACTATGTGTTACAGTGACCACTGGCCAGAAAAATATGTGACTGCAGTCAAGACCTGCACAGACCGGATTAGTTTTCGTTTGTCACGCAGTCCTGGGATGTATTTTTCTTGTGTAGCCTGCCTGAGATGCAAAAATCGCTTGTCAAATTTTCTGACATTAGGAAGAAAAGAAGTAAGGGGAAAAAAACAATTACACAAATACTGGTCTGTTGACATTTAGAATGAGACAATGATGAGCATAAAAAAAAGTTAAAAAAAATCCTGGGCCAGCAACCCAAAGGACCAAAGACAAATCACAAAATAGGATGCAACTAATTAGGCTGAAATGTCAACAATGTTCAGTATATTGTTCAAGTACAGCTACTGTGACCCCCAGTATGAATATGCCAAGGGGAAATGTAGAATAGGAGTTAATCAGTAAGTTAGATACAAATATTTTAAAATAACATTTTAATTTCTACCCCACCGTTTTAACATTTTTGAAATCGTTAAATAAGCATGTCACCGATTCTCAGAGTGGGCCAAATGTCAGATGTTTGTATGTATTATTCAGCTGAACATTTTAAGTACATAATCCTCCTCACTGCTAAACAGGTGGTACTATATTAACAGGTTATTTTCTCAAGGGCAACAGTGAACAGAACACTGCTGTCTCCATACAGCCATGTATTACTGAATGTGGAGTCAATGCAAGGATGGAACTAAGCTGAGGTCTGTAGGCAGGACAGAACTTTCTGCTGTAACTACAGCTCCTAAAGTGCATTTCAAGGCAGAGTACCACAATTTAGTTGAGTTATTCACAGAATTATACACAGCTGGAAAACAAACTTGGCGAATGAGTATTGTGTAAGCAGTACGTGGCAGAGTACATCTCTACTGTGTCTCATCCATGAAACTGAGTAGTTTAGGACTTAACAATTAAAAACAGGTAACAGACCTAATAGGAGAAGCCTTGCAACCAAGTTTAGTAGATTCTTTGTAGGCCATGCTGTACCTTTCTTCTTCAGAGTTGTGTGGTGGGGTTTGTTGCTGCTTTGTTCCCAGTCTTTCAGTAACAATTGAGAGAATAAGTGGACCCAAAAATAAAAAATCTGTGAAGCAGCACACCATCAGGAGCCCAGCCCTTCTGACTTTCAGGAGGAATGTGGAATGGGCAGTCACACAAAGGTAACAATATACAGCCCATAACATATTCTAAATATGCTTCCCAAACTTTGCATTTAGAACTAATACTTGTTTATGTTTCATACAGAATTTCCAACGAGATTGACTGCCTTTGGGCTTTTGAAATGCAAGAAGCTGTTAGCTTTTTTTTTTCTGAAAATCTGCAGACAGACTCTACTCTGCTTTATCTGAATACCAGCAAACCCACAACAACACTCCAGGCATTGCTTAGGTTTTTGTTGTTGTTGTTGTTATTGCTTGTCACATCAAATAAAAATCTAAATCCCTGAATTTGATAAAGTTATTTTTCATTTTGTGAACATGAGGTTAACACAAAATGAGTTCTGGAATGAAAATGAAATGCTTTGTCCATCATTCAGGAACAGCTGCAGCTACATTGTGTGAAAGCAAAAGTGAGTTGCAAAAGCAATTCTCATCTGCTTTTGAACCACAACCAAGCAGTTACTAATGAATAGGAGAGTTTCTTATTTCTCCTACTAAATAAGCCTCCAGTAAACTGGTGCTTTAAGCTGCATTCTTCCCTCAAATGACACAACTCCTAATACACAAGCCAGCTTTCGTACCCCGAGTGGTACCACATGGCTGTTATATCAAACCCCTCTGAGTTTTTCACAGACACTTAGCATTGTATTGACAGGAAGAGTCCTGCTGTACCATCTGTGTAAAATCTGCCAACTTAACTTAGACTGCCTTTTCTTATTATCTCTTCTTTTTCAGTCCTTTCTCATTCTCAGGTTTGAAAGAACTTAACTCAAACATCCTCAGAAGCCAAGTTGCAACCACACTCTCAGTGCCCTGAGATAAAATACTAAGGAAAGCAGATAATCTTTACCTGAAAGACTTCATACCTTCCTGCTCCTTCTGCAAAGATAGCTTTCATAATGTCCTCAGTTGACTCATAATCTGAACCTAAGAAAAAAAGTTAATTTTCACAGCTATCATTTTAACAGGTATAAAAATGTGGGCATATCTACTGGAAAATCAAAGGACTACAAGATGTGCTATGCTTAATCTAGCAGTGAGGATTCCTTTGCTACCACACTTCACAGCTGTTATCAGCCTGCTGGCTGCAGTAAGCTAGCACCAGTCTAACAGCAACTGTTAAAATCACACCCTCATTGTTTTTTATCAAGATAATTTGTAGTTTTCTCATCAGTTTGTGGATTGACTATATAAATATTGAAACCATAGTCTCTATGGTTT